CATTGCCTGGGCGATTATGTTTGAACAGGAACGATGCCACTGATTCGTCGCTTGGAACGTGCATTCCGTTCAGAATTGAGTCAACCGTCGCCGGTCGACTGGCTATGACATCCATCTCGCCGTTTGCCACGGCGGTCGTCTTTTCGATCGGATTTGTGGCTGGCACCTGACCAAATCGAACGCCGATGAATTGCTCTTCGAACCGAAATTCAGTGAGACATTGTTCGTAGACTTGTGCAATTCTGCGGGAAAAATGGAACAAAATCGATTTATTGATTTTTTATTCAAGCAATTCGATGATCTCGCACCGAAAAAGGTGCCGAGAATCTTGAAAAATGCCAACATGAATGATTTTCTCACCGAATGTTCGTCGTTTGAACGAAATAGTCCTTGAAATTGTTGTCGAACGACATGCCGCTACTTTGAAAGTCATCTTTGACCATTCGAAGTATTTGCTTCGTCTCCAGCTCGATTTTGAACCAGTATTTGGTCAGATTCCTGTGCCAATTTGCGTTCATCGTTGCTGAAAATAGAGAAAAATCGAATCGTTTGATTAAATGTCAATTGAAAAAGTGAATTTTAGTTCCGATTGAACGCAACTCAGTGACCGATCGTTTCAATGACCTCAACATATTCGATGTTTCCATTGAATTTTTCAATATTTCGATTCATTCGGTTCAATTGATCGATTGCCAAATGATTTAATGTGAACCAGCGAACCGATTGACATTCATTCGCAATGGAAATTCATTCCGAATGTGCATTTTTGCGCAAGAAAAAATCGGCTTCAATCGAACCACTTACCCAATTGTGAGAATGTGACGTTTCTTGCGTACCAATTCCACAGTTTTCAAACGATTTTCAATTTTTCAATGTTTCTGATGACCAAAATTCAATTCTTTTCAAAATATTCACTTGGATTTTATCCAACAAACACAAATTTGCTTGATTTTCACAAATAACAAAAATACAAAACACGAAATATTTACAGAGCGTACAAAATTGCCAATAGTCAGTGAACAAACGCACACAAAATGAAGTGTCATTGTCGTCGGGCAAATGTCAAAGCATTTCTTGGTGTTCGTTCAGTATGTCGACAGTGTGGAGACTCGGCCACTTGGGTACGGCTGAGTACAATCATGTGATACTTTAGAGCCCGAATCATTTTTTTTCATTT